AGAACCATATAATTCAATCAAAATTTACACGCTGCAACAAGATATGCTTTACATGTCCGCTGGAGATAATGCATGCACTTGATAAATGTTAATCCCAGCAGTATAAAACGGCCGTTTCACTTATATACAATCATTTCTGTGCAAAGTTGGAAAAATCTGCTAGATTGTCAGTGAGTGCAACACATCAGGAAATACAGAAGTATTGTCTTCGTATTAACAAAAAGCAGGTCTTTGGTGGGTGGATTGTAAGTGCCTGGGAAAAAAAATAAAGCTTGAAGTAAATATTCATACATAACTTCGTTCTGTGCAGCATCCTTGAATTATAGTCCATTGATGTGTTATTTTGAAATCAGTGATATGTTTATCTCATTTGATCTGCAATGTCATTGTTGGGAGTAAATACATAAGCTTCAGACGCATTAATTAATGGATTTCTACTGCTCATGGGTATTTTCTTAGCATGAGGAAGGTTTATGAATTTCAGCTGTTCCGACAGGAGTTGAGAATATTAACTGCTGAGCAACATTACATCATCACATTATCTAAGGAAAGGTGGGTTGCAGTTGGTGAGAGATATATGGTGCCCAACGAGCGTACGTCTGTCCATGTGATATTGTGGTGAGTTATGCCTTTTCCATGTTGTCGGCTTATGTCCATTTTATTCCACTTATTGTGTTGGGTAGTAGTTTTACAAACGAGATTTCTTGTCTGTTTGAGGATACGTATGTTAACCGCTAATGTTTTATCTAGAATTATAAATATAGGCAAAAAACAGCAGGTGTAGTATTTAAGCTTATACATTAAATGGACCTATAATTTCGGAGGCTCTCAGATAGGAACTAGAACTACTATCGTTTGCAAACTCTTGTAGTTTGTCATTAAGCACCTTTTTGAAGGAGGCCAATATACTTGCTTGACGCATTTCCATTGGCAGTTTATTCCATATCTGTGCATACCTAATCAAGCAAAACTTTTGCCTGGTGGCTGTTTTACATTGTTCGATAGCTACTGTACTCTTAGTGTGTCTTAGTTTGTAGCCATTGTCATCTGAAAGTCGAGTGCCATTAGTAGAGGTAAAAACTAAGTGGTTTAGAAGCTTATAGTAAAGTGTCAAGTTTAGTCTCAGGCGTCTTAGCCATAGTGTTTCTAGTCCTAGGGTATCACATCTAGTGGAGTAGTTCGTACCATTTTCAGTTCCGAGTAATTTTAACGTGAAGTACCTCTGCACTCCCTCGACTTTCAATTTGTCCTCTATGCGTATGCTACTATACATGAATGAACAGTAATCAAATAAAGGACGCACACAAACCTTGTACAACAGAATTCTGGATTCATTTCTATAGAAGTTCCTGAGTAGAAAGCCGATAAGTCTGCGTGACTTTGACACTTGTTTGGAGATATGTTCAGAAAATGATAAGTTATGTGAATATTTCAGCCCTAGGTCCAGTACAGATTCCAGTCATTGAAGTGCATGGCCTTGAATTGTCAGGTCAAGTTCTAAATTGTTGCAACCTATGCAGAGCCAGCCACATTTTTCGACATTAAATTGGAGTTGCCAGGTGTCGCACCATCTATCCATTTTTTCTAATTCTTGCTGTATGGCGTTTACTGTTGTTCCAAGATCTGTGTTCTTGCATTTATACGTCACTTTTAAGTCATCTGCATATAGTATTGGTTTACCTACACTAAAGCATTCACAGATACTGTTTATATATACTATGAATAAGAGTGGGCCTAATACGCTTCCCTGGATCACACCACTACTTACTGGTTTTGGCCTTGAGATTATCGAGCCAACTTTCGTTGTCTGACTTCGGCCACAGAGAAATGATTTTATCCAGCCCAGGAGAGGGTCACATATCCCTAGTGAGCATAACCTGCCGACTAGCAGATTATGGGGAACTCTGTCGAAGGCTTTTGTTATACCGAAATATAGTACAATTACTAGTTCTCTGTTGTCCCTACTTCGTGTAACTTCGTTGAAAAAGTCTATGTGACAGGTCACACATGATCTTTTTTTAAGAAATCCGTGTTGTGATGGATTGATAAGTTCATGTTCTAGTAAGTTGTCTGACACTTGGTCTTTAACCACTTTCTCCATTATTCGGGATATTACCGGTGTTATATTGATAGGTCGATAGTTGCATACACTGGTTTTGGCCCCTACTTTGTGCTTAGGTAATATGTATGTGCTTTTCCACACTTCAGGATAAGTTCCAGTTTCCAACGAGAGAGTAAATATTCTAAGTAACAAGACTACCATTTCCGTGCTACCACTTTTGTACATGACAGATAGTATGTCATCTGTTCCAGTACTACCATTAGACTTCAAAGTCTTAATCGCTGAGTCTATATTTTGTATATTAAAGTCTATTTCGCCTAATTTGTGGTTACTTTTGCAGGTCATTTGGAAATTTTGGGTCGGGTGCACTCTGGCGTCATTGCAAAACCACTCACTGAGGAGTTCACTTATAACCTGGGGATCATTGTATATTATACCCTTATGTTCCAAGCTGCTTACAGCAGTGTCTTTACTGCTTTTTAGACGTTTCTGCAATATCCTACAAAGTCCCTGAGTTTTGGAGTTACCCACAAGCGCTTTATTTTCTTCAAGTTCTGACCTCATTTTGTGTTTATCTTCAAGCCGTTTAAGAGTTTCATGTATTTGGTTTAACGCACCGAATTCCTTAAATACATGGTATTTCCTTTTCAATTTCTTTAGTTTTAGTCGCGTTTTGCGGTCTTTAAATGGAGTTTGTGTCTTTAGAGCAGATTTTAGGGGCGCGATTGTGTCTCTTGCTGAGCCAATTGTTTTGTAGAAAATATCAAGTGATACTTCCAAGTTATTGTTGATGAGGTATTCTTCCCAGTGAGAACTTCTCAACAGATCTGATAGGAATTCCCAATCGGCATTCTTATAGTCCCTATATTGATAGTGCACCGGGGAATTTTTAGGTGTGTGTTTAGTTGTTAGTCGGAGGGGTAGCATGCAGTACAATATGCTGTGATCACTGTTATCAAGTTTATTTCCTGCCTCTATCGAGATGGGCTCTATTTCATGACAAAGGATTAAGTCAAGAGTGTTTTCATTTCTTGTAGGGAGGCGTACGCACTGCTTCCACCCGCCCACGTCTATAGCTTGTAGTAGCTCGTCATGGATTCTAGGTCCTGTACAGGTATCCCATTTTACTCCAGGTAAGTTGAAATCGCCACAGACTACTTTGTAGTCAAAGTCCAGCGTAGCTGCATGCTCTAGTATTTTTCCAATAGTTATATCAGTCATTTGAGGGCTATTAGGGGGTCTGTATATACATCCCATGAGAATTTTATTTTCGTTTGTGTGGATGCTTATCCACTTAGATTCAGGGAGTTTGTCAGTAGTTGGGTTATTGAAAGTATTGGAGTTAGTGGATTTAGAGGCATATATTAAGCACCGCCTCCTCTTTTGTCAACTCCATCGTTCCTATAGATGTCGTAGTTGTCTATTACTAGCTTTGAGTCAGGTATATCAGTAGTAAGCCAGGTTTCAGTCACCATTATTAGTGTTGGCCGTTCTATGTATGCCAGGCAGCGAAGCGACGTTATTTTATTAAGGAGAGATCTAGCATTCAGGAGCGTAATCGTTAGTAAACCAGAGTTATTGGAGGAGAGGTTAACATGGTTACTTGTCACTATCCCTACGTTATGTTTGGAGGGGCTCTGAGGTGAGACAGTGTCAGTGTGTGTACTATTTCCTGGATGAATTGTGCAGCGAGTGGGGCTATTGTTTGCTGCATACGAAAATAATCCTGTCGCATGTTTTGACTTTTAGCATCCATGGGTGGGCATCTGCGTTCATTTACTGGTGATATATAGTTTGCTTGACCTAGGTACCCTGTGTTATGATTACCTTGGTAGTTGTACCTCATGGGTCTTTCATAGTCGTATGCATATTGGCTCACATCACATGTGTGAGTGAAGTTGTTGAGAGGGTCAAGTGTCGATCTATACTCATTATGTTGCTGAGGTTTAACATAGATAGTGTGGGAGTTTGGACGAGAATATTCATTAATATGGTGCCTATATGAGTCCCGTTTAGTGCTCCACATATCCTGATGATCCATTCTACGTTGCATTCCCAAGTTATGTGCGTTGCTAGGCGGACGATATTAAGATATGGAAAACCGTAAATAGTAGCGATGATAGGTTGGTACTACAAAACGATCTAGACAAATTAGCCAAATGGGCTAACCTTTGGAGTCCGGAAATTAATTCCAACAAAAGCGCGGTAATGCACCTAGATCAGAAGTCTTACACTTCCTACTCCATGGGGGACACAGAACTGCCAGATGTTAGGGAACAAAAGGACTTAGGAATTATTGTAAGCCATGACTTAAAAACAACGGCAAACTGTAATCGAGCCGCAGCTAAGGCTTTTCCAATGCTATGAGCACTTCGAAGGGCTTTCAAACGATTAGATGAGGGCATGTTCCAAATACTCTACACAACATATGTCAGGCCTCATCTAGAGTACTGCATACAAGCGGCGAGTCCATGCTTCAAAAAGGAGGCACAAACCCTGGAAAGAGTACAGAGGGAAGGAATGAATTTAGTTAGTGGTATCTCACACCTTCCTTATGACATGAGGATGGAGCATTTAAATCTCTTCCCATTATCATACCGAAGGAGGAGAGGCGACTTAATTTTGGCTTACCGTATATTCAAGGGTGATTTAGGGATTGACCTTTCAAACCTTTTCTCCCCCTTTGGGATACATTTATGGGGTCACCAGAAGAAGTTGGTCAAATCGAGGTCGAATAAAGTACGTTTGGAGTTTAGATTCTCTCACAGAGTGGTCAACGACTGGAACTCCTTACCTGATTCAGTTGTAACAGCTCCATCGGTGAACGCTTTCAAAGAGAAACTGGATCTCTGCAAAGATATATATAGCGAGGATTAACATGGGCAACAAGAGCCTTCTATCCTTATAATCTGAACCTGAATCAAGATCATTTGGTAGCCGTCATCTTTAGCATTCATGGCTAACTAACATTCTACCATTGAAACAGAATCACTCACGCGCCCACCCTGATTTTGTAGGTCACGACCATCTTAACGTAAAACTCTAATTCCTGAAAGTAAGTGTGTACAGCTAAGACATCGCATAATGTTTGAATTTTTTAATTATATTTCTTGTGCTATACCTCTGTAAAGTCAGTGAATATAAAATTTGTAAGTGTCATGCTTATTTTCAGCTCAGCAGCTAGTGAAGTAGTGTAAGTAAAAGAACTAGAAGTCATTTTTACGTCTGTTGTTGTTTGGTATGAAAAAGCAACCGTTTGATAAATGCTCACATCTACAGCATGACAGTGCCGACCTTTTATTTGGGACTTTTTAAGTCGGATGGTAGTTTGGACGATTGTCTTAGGAAACAAACAAGTGTTTAACCGAATTATGAGACGTCTGGTGAACTGCACATTCTTTACAACTGCCTTTGCGCCTCTATCAGACTGAAGATGTGATCAGCAGCTAATAATGCAAACGTATATGTTAACCATTGTCACCATATTGTTTTTGAGTTGTGCAAGGAGCCTAATACTTTGCACTAGTTTTTACAGGGATATTTCAAGCTTCTGGAAATCCGTTCTCAATTAACACCATCATGGTCATTGATTCATTGTAATTAAGACACGCATCGCCAGTCATTTTTAACAATAGTGAGAAATCAATGGACCAGACACCATGGTTAGTTGAATATGTATGCCAGTGTCCGAAAGTCTTTGTCAAACTGAAAACATAAATTGTATTGCTTAGTACTGGGACTTAGATTAAGATTAGTTTGTTGTTTTTCAGCCTAACAGTTATTTATGACCATCAGAAGTTAATTTTAATACATCCCTCTCCAGGCTAGTGATTCTTCCTGTTCACCGTATATGATTTACAAACATAGTTAATTGCATAGTACCCAAAGTTTTAAAGTCCCTTGAAAGAAATCTTAATTGGCATAATTACAGAAGAGTTTGTGTCACACAGTATGTTTGTAGATAAGTGCGTAGATTTTTATGTGGAATTAGCTTTTCAGATGTCGTGCGGTAGTAGTGAATGTCAACTGGATAAGGGGACATCCACATCGGTCTAGGAGATGGATTTAACAAGGATTATTGCTGCCTTTGATTGGTGACATGCATAACCACTGAATACACTCCGAACCTTTCATGCCGGTTGAGTGGTGAATTTGCAAACATCAACTAACAACAGGATATGAAGGACCTTGCAAATATACTTGTTCCTTGCACAAGAATTCAGGGGGGTGTGAATGCAAATGTTCTAACTTGAAGTTTCCCAACATAGTCTTCCGATTCCCATTAGTCATACCTTTTTAAAGCATCAGTCATGGAAATTGACTGGGTCTGAGAAACTGGAAAGAGGCTATTCTCCCGGAAAGCACCTGCTGGACGCCTGGCTTTATTATTTTACAATCTTCCAATTAGAACTAGTACTTTGTCATATATTTGTTTAAAGTTGAAGAAAGGAAACACGTAAGTATTGCCGCAGTTGTAGTACATAAGTACTCAGTAAATATATGGGATAGAAAAAGGACTAATTAAAGTAGAAGATTATACAAACATGGTGATTTCAAGTTGCTGCACAAAATTAAGACAGAAATGTAACGCGGGGGAAATAATTTCAAGGAAGGTTTGTGTACTTATCAGTGCATTGGATGTTATCACTCTCCGGCCGCACACTTTGAAGAAATTGATTTATTCTTGAAATACCTCAAACAAAAATAGATTTAGTGTTGCGTTACCGCCGAACCTAGGAGACAACTGCTTAAGGTCGGCCACAGCCCATATGAAGTGTTTTTTAGGTTGTTCCCTCATTAATATTTTACCATTACAGGGTGGTTGTGGATGTGCAGTTTTTGGGTCTAACTTTTTTCAACCTTTCCCTCCCCAAAGTGGACTGACAGCATAGCTGTTCAACTTAGGGGAACACTTGACTGCTTTTATGTCCGTATTCGCTCTCATACTCGCACTGTAATGTGAGCAACTTACACTGTGACAGTAACTACCTTTAGTCTAACCGCTATCCTTACAACTTTTGTGGCATGGTACAACCTGCAGAAACATTCGTTCTAGCCGGTGTAGCTCGTTGGATCATTGAGACCTAGACTTGTCGGGTAATAACAGTGTAGCGGTTTTTGGTTAGGTCATTCTCAATCTGAGAGATAAGGGGTGAATTGATCTACTTCGTTGTGAATGAACTAAAATGACTTCATCAAGAGACATAATTCCAGTAAAGCGGCCTAGATAGCTCAGGTTGACAGTCAGGTGATGCGTTTATCTTCAATTTTTGAACTAAGCAGGCCTAGCTCTTCTTCAAGTAATTCTTCAGCCAGTATTGGTCGTCTAGGAGAGCGGTGACTCTGCATGCCTAGTGATGAGTCCAGTTGCTGGATGTTTGCAGTCCCATCGATTGATATGCTCTTCTTACGAAACACTATCTGATTTCAATATTAACGTTTTGCTCCACTTGATGCGAGCCAATGAATAAATACACCGTTGAAGGAAAACTAGTTATCTTTTCATATCTACTTTCGGTAGCCTTCTCACAGCCTAAAGTAAGACGGTCAATTGTTATGTCTTGTTCAAGCTTTTTGATGGTTAGTTAAAATATGATGTCTGCACTAAGGTGACGGAGGCTGACAAGGTTTGAAAAACCCTTTTGTCCTCTTTCTGAGATTTGCTACTTTTCGATTTAGTTGTGTGTTCTCTGAGGTGGTTAATTTAATTGCGAAGCTTTCGTTGTCTTCTAGACAACATCTTCAATGCAGATTTTAGTATGAAATGAACTTATTTGAGTTCTCCATGAATGGTATAGTTGTATCTCCTGACAACCGTTGTCCTGAGTATTTGTTAATTTACGTCTCTATTGATCATTTTTGTCAACTTTTGTCATCGTCATCATTAGTGATGTTACTTCGACAGCCCTCGAATTAGTCAGTACATTCGATCGTCCAACGGATAATTCGAATGGACAGGAATTATTTCTGACATAGTTGTATGAAGTGCATTTCTCTCGTAGTAATGTTATCATAAACTTATGATCAATTTGAATAAAGCAAGGACAATAGTTTCTGCAGAATAATGTGGTATCATCATTTATTTCGTTGGCTTCTCATCAGCTTAGCTTACAGCCTAAATAGATTATTATTATTAAGTTCATGTACAGACAAGTCTTAACATACTTGCAAATTTTAGATGTTAGTTGAGAGGTAGTCCCGAACTTAGTGAACAGCGCTCAGAAAATTACACTTACATAGATTTTACACTGGGAGTTCAAGTTTGGACGAAGTAAATGTATGTATAAACTGGTAAAGAATTTATGTAATAGAAACGAGAGGTATGTAAGATGATGAGTAACTAATAAATTGGATGACAGTTTACTTAGTTCGACTGAAATCATAGAAACAAGAGGCAAGCAAAGTTACACTATATCAGGGGAGTGAGGTTAAAGCCAAAGGTTGCGTAATCAAATGAGAGAGAGAGGGAATAAAGACATCGAGTTACCAGATTGGCAAGGAAAGACTGATATTTGCTTCTCTCTGAACACGCTTAAATCGCGTTTCAGGCGCTTGAATGACATTACTTCGACAAACTTGAGGAGAATTGAGCTTTTTTGTGTATTGATAATTTTAAAGGAATCCGTGATTTCCACCTCACCTCAGGATTCATATCAAGATGCTTGGCAATGGAACTATGTAAGGGTTTGTTCCCTTGGGCCGAAGGCTTTCCGGTACATGTTCAGGGAATCGAAGGTTGGCTCTCCTTTCTGTGGCCTCCCAATGTAACTCCTCCAACAGATACACGTAAATTTGTATACAGTTGGAGTTGTTCACGTGAGAAGGGTATCTGTCGACTTTTGTGGATTTTTACAAAGACAAGTCAAGCATTTTCATACTAACTGGTTTGAAGTAAAAAGACAAGTGGAAATACCATCCTCAGTATTATTAATCTAATTTATAACGACTCCATTATCAATATAAGTATAAAACTTGGGCACTGTGGTAGAGTATATATATATATATATATATCAACTTGATATGATTATGAGCAATAGATTGTGCTCGAAACGTCATCAGTTAATATAACTGTACAACACTGTGTGATTTATCAAAATAAAATCTTAACCATTATGGACTCCATTATCATTGTTGTTTTTTTGGTTATGCTGTGTTTATAATGTAATTCTTTCTTTCTGCTTTTATAGATGAAACACAAACGGGATTTAAAACAATTGCTTCATCCCTACTATATTGTCAATATGTTCTTAAGTATTCTATTTTTCATTACAAAAACTGTACCAGTGTTTTGTACATGGATGTATGAAGATTGTCATATTGACTTGCAAGAATATGAATTGCTAATATGTTTAGGAAGTTTTGTTGCCTTACGGAATAAGCGTCAATTTTCTATCCCTGATTATCTTGCCCACTTTTATATGTTTGCTAAAGTGATTAATCTTTTAATGTTTTGGAAACAAAATGTTGCTTATTCTGTTTGTTATGGTATTCTATGGTTAATACAGGGTTGCTTTTTACAACAACCTGTATACAATGGACCTGATAAAGTGATGTACTTACGTGATACTACTTTCGAGAAAGAAGTTATTCATGGTAATCCAAAAGTAACATGGCTTATCGCCTTCTATACAATCTGGTCACCTGCATGCACCAAGTTACAGCCGATATTTGCTGAATTATCTGAAGAATACGGTTCAGATTTGTTGAAATTTGGTAAACTCGATGTGATTCGATATCCAGATATTAGTGTCAAGTATAATATTGATACATCGAGTTGGTCGAAACAACTGCCTACGCTTATTCTATTCCGTCAAGGTCGTGAGTTGACAAGACGACCAGCTATCATAAATACATCGAAAAAAGCTATCCAGAAGTTCATTTTCACATGGGAAAATATAATCAGTGCTTTTTCATTGAATGATATATACACTAGTCAAAAAACGAAATCTGGTACAGTAGTAGCGAATCAATGTAAGACGACGGCTAATTCATCAGATGAGGATAAGAAGAACTTGTGATAAAAGTATATATATATATATATATGCAAACATGACTACACTACTGTTATGTTAGGTATATTTCTTCTCTAGTCTTTCTGATCATATGATATGATATTACATAATACGATATAATATTGGACTGTTTCTGCACAGGCTAAAGCATGTCATTAGCTCTAGTAAGTAACTTTTCAGTTGTTTATTTTCAATTCTTTCGCATTGTGTACACGTTACTTTTTTCTATGTATGATTAAATTAATTTACCTCGAATATTTTCATATATACATATATAGTAGACTTTCTAATAAAAGACAAATATTAACTATCTTGATGTGTTCTCTTCTGTAAGAAATTAAGAGTGTAAAGAGATTGTCACAAAAGTGAGATAAACATACACTTCAATTATTTGGGGAGTTGCATCAGACCAAACACCAGTGGGTTGATCACTGACGAAATCTCAGCACGGATAGAAGAAGGCTTGTTTGTCACACGCCAGTTAACGCCATCTCTGGCTTAGTAGACGTGGTATTCAGTCAGACGACTGTCGACCAAAGGGTGTGTCTACTGCTCAGGAGTTTGCTCTGTCCTCCTCCTTTATGGCTGTGACTGTGAGACATGGCTATTGAAAGTGGAAGAAGTGAATGTAAAGCCTAGCTGTCTTTGATCACAGGTGTCTGTGTTCTATCTCTCATGTTAAGGTGAGCAATATTGAGGTTCGGCTTTTGGTCGAGTGCTAGGTAAGGAGGGGAAATCAATGGACGAGGTCGTGAAGTTATATCTATTGAGATGGTTAGGACGTGTGTCGCGCATGCCCAGCCATCGCCTTCCTCTATCCACGGTCAATGTTAGCTGACATAGGATCAGGTTGAAAAAGAGTTAGCTAGTGGTGGTCAAACCAAAATTTGGTCTCATCAGTCAATGAAATCCACAACAGTTAGTTTAAACCAGCCACGTAAAGAAGTGTAAACCGCTGTCTATTTGGGGTCCTCGATTTGGTAAGAATCAATGAATGCTGTAGACAATCGGTGAAATGGCTCAGATTCATTCTCGGTGATGGCTGGGGCAGATGCATTCACCCTTTGTGATTTATCATATCATCCATCGAAACTCTATTGTTCTTCCGTATGACTAATCTTTTCCACTGAGCTCAGTAGTAACGTCTCTGACTGCAGTACTCACTGGGTGACGCGGGTTTGAATCTCAGAAGGGACATGAGTTCCTTCAAGGTTGCAGATACGCCTTGCTGATGAGTGCCAACTAGCACGAAACCTAGGTCCAAGGCTTCCTGTGGCCGATTGCCTCCAACTATCTAATAGAAATTAGTGTGCTTAGTTCTAATACTAATAATAGTGAAGACACATAAGCATGCATAGTAGGGATTATATTTTCCATAAAAACACATATGTCTTTAAGATGAACGATTCGCAGTTTTCCAACAGAGTGTATGATATTCCGGTTGCCTAATTAAAAGTAGTGGTCTTGTGTTATAGGAGAGTATAGTATATAGTGTTTTAAGCACATTCTCCAGTACGTTGTATCCCATGACCAAATAGTCCAGCACGTGAAATTCTACTGCTTTTGTGCATTTCCAATGATTGTTTCCGACAGTCTTCACTTCTAAATGTGTCCAACTTTCCAACAGCCTGAAATAAAAAGAGTACACAATAGTCGGGCTTAAAAATAAAAATAGACGCGATCAGGTATAATGAATGATACAGTGTGAAGTAGTATGACCCAAGTAGTAGATAATATGAATAAAACAAGAACAACAGATTGAGCAGAATAAAGCGGTAGCATCGTTTATTTTGTTGACCTCTCATCAGGCGCACACAGATTAAAAAGAGTTACTAAGCTTATTTACAGAACTACTTTAACATATTCACAAGTGTTATGTAATGTCAGTTGGCAGGAGACTGGGAATGTAATAAACAGTGCTCATAAAAGTGCACTTTTATGGCTTATATTCAGAAAGTTCAAGTTTTTTAAACAAAACAGCTTGGATACAATGGCAAAAAAGTTAGGTAATGAAGAGGAGAGGTGAATAAGATGATGAGTAACTCATGAATTGATTAGCAATGTGGTGAGTCCAAGTCAAGTTACAAAAACAAGAGACAAGCAAAGTTACGTTACATCAAAGAGGCGGGGGGTGGAGGGAGATTAAGTAGCCAAATGACTGAGAGTAAAGACATCCAGTTACCAGGTTGGCAAGGAAAGACTGACCGATAACTGCTTCTTTCTGGAAACATAAATCTGTTTTCAGGCGTTTGATAGCTATTGCTTATTGATAATTTCAAAGGATTTCGTGATATCCACCTCATGACCCGTACTGATTAGATAACTTGCAATGGAACTGTCGTAAACGTGTCCCCCCTTGAGATAGATGTAGGCTTTTTGGTACATGTTCAGAAAATCGAAGGTGTGCCTTTCTTCCCGTCTTCCGATGTAACTACTACTACTGTAGGTGCACGTAAATTTTGTATACACAGTTGGAATTGTTAACATGAGAAAGGTATCTGTTGACTTTTGATTGGACCAAAGAGCATTTTGTCCGATAAACAGGAACTAAATTAACTGCAGGATGGTTGGTATTCAATCTTTTGTTAACTGTTCCTGCAATTCTATCACCTTTAAAATCGAGTTGAACGAAGATATGCTTCTTTTCCATTGTGATTTGTTGTTAAGCATTTCAACCTTCACATCTTCCGTACGTGTTATTGAATTTCTAAGGGTAGCAGCTGTTTTTCAACATCTTTTTAAGAATCAAAATTTCTCCCTCTAATTTCTCTGTAGTGCATATTACGCTGACTCTTTAAAGCAGAGTTTTGATCAATGCTTGTTTGCAGCTATGTGGACAAAACTGCAATGAATATCCTTAACAAGTTTAATGATGCACATTCAGCAATAAACTTTACCATAGAGAAAGAAAGTAATGACAGTATCGCATTCCTAGACGTCTTCATGATGGCACACTAAGAAGAAGTGTGTATAGGAAACCTACAACAACAGGTTAGTACACTCACTTTTTGAGTTTTGTACCTTTGAAATATAAACGTAACCTGGTAAAGTGTCTGGTTCATAGAGCTTAGTTAATCTGTTCAGAAGACTGCCTCAATGAGGAGCTTAAGATTATTAAAGAATTACTTAGAAAAAATGGTTATCCTGATAAGTTTATTGAGAAGAATATGAATTCAGCACCTAGGAGAGTCAATATGGCAACAGTTCCGAAAAAACCAATGTTCATAAAACTGCAGTTCCTCGGTGGCAACATCAGCGAAATCACAACACAACGCTTGAAGAATGCAGTTAAAAGAGCTTATTATGCAGCAGAAGTACGTTGTCTCTTCAAAACCACCCCTATTCTATGTTCGAGAAATAAGGATAAACTACCTAATTTTGCCTCTTCTATGTGTAACTACCAGTTTGACTGCAGCTGCGGAGCCAGCTACATTGGGCGTACAATTAGGCAGTTTCATCGTCGTATTTCTGAACATCATCCAGCGTGGTTAAGCAAGGGACAAACAAGATCTGTTCGTAGTTCTATTTTAGAACACCTTGTTGATACTGAGCATAAAGTTGATGTTAATACAGCATTTAAAATTATTAATCGCATTCCGACTAATCTTAACTTTGCTGTACGAGTTCGTCTTCTACAGACAGCTGAGGCAATCGGAATCCACCAGAAGAAACCAAGCCTATGTGTAAAGAAGAAATTTGTACAGCCACTTTCCTTACCATGGCCATCGTTACAAGACAGGACTACGTCGCCCCCCTCCCCCTATTAAATTATAATTGTCCAAATTATTTTATTTTTATTTTGACCACTTCATCTTTAATTACGTGTTATCCTTGTAAAATTAATTTATTCTATCCATTTCTACTTTTAAATGTGTATTGATTTTCTGCGTTAATTATCAACCCATTGACATTTTGACACTGTTTAATTATTGTTAACAAACATATCACCACTTGTTTGGTAAACTGTTGTGTATTGTAATAAAAATGCTATACATGTATATTAGAGTAGAGCCACAGTGAGATGAGGATCTAATTGAAAAGTAAATATTTCTTCGCTCAATCTTTCTGTTTTCCAAAACTGTTAAAGTGTAGGTTTTCGGTAAAACGATCTCTGGAGACTACCATCTTCCAGGCATTGTATAGTGATGTCAAGGAAATGAAACTTTCCATCACTTTCATCTTTTATAGTGAATAGTAGATCATTGACTTCTGTTTTCATCCTCCGAGGTGTAATTTCCGGTGTCTAATCTATTTGAGAAGCTGTATAAGTATTTTGCTGATACATAAAGAAAATTTCTATTTTTAATTTTTGAGTCAATTTTTATCGACAAAAATAGTCTTATCTATGTTGCAAACTGGTTGCAACATCCATACCAAACACATGGAGCAGTAACTTTCAATTCTATCGCTTGTGTATGATGTGCCTTTTGGAGTTGACTCCTCTTTCCTTTTCGAGGTGTCCTTAGATCTCATATGAATACTGTTCTGTTATGGTGCATTATTCTGCAATTACAAACACTATTCAAGAGGGCCAGGACTCATCGCAGCACTCCCACTTTAAGGAAAATTGAAGAAAGATATCTCATAGACGTCTTCCAAAACAATGGATATCCATGGAATTTCACCAAAAGACATATACCTCCAAGCCAACCTACCAGATCAAATGCCCCCAAGGAAAGCATAAAGAAAATCGCCCTATCATGTATAAATGACATCTTAGAAATCACTGCAAGACTCTTCAAACCTTTAGGAACTGATATCGCGCAAAAACCAACAAAATCACTTCACTCAGCTGGCTCTGTGTCAACCAAAAGACTTGGAAATGATAGAGAAGATTTGTAGCTCAGGTGGATGATTTTGATGTGGTTGTGTTCTCTGAGCTGGATAGTTGATTTGCGACTATCCAGCTATCCAACTATCCAGCTCAGAGAACACAACCACATCAAAAACAACCAAAAGACTCAACAGCTAAAGAAATTAAAACCAACATCATTTATGAGATAAATTGCGACGACTGCGAAAAACACTACATTGGCCAAAGTAGATGTCCCCTTCGTCTTCGTATCCATGATCATAAACTAGCCGTCAAAAGACATGACATCCACTCCCTCATATTGCTGCGTAAAGACTACTACTGCTTGGACAACGTTCAAATATTATGATAGCATTATTAGAAGACGGAGATTATCTGAAAAATGTGATGTATTAGCACTATACATTTCGAACAATCTGATCACACATTTACTTGTCAAGTCAATATATATGGAAAAGTTAAATTAAACAAGGTGACAAAAAAAAGAATTAAGAATAATTAACACAAACGTTTGGTAATCCAACCAAATAAGGATTACCAAGGTAGGTTAAGAGTAATAACAAACTGTTTTTGAATACACAAGGGGGGCTTAAGTTTATGAATGGCTATAGCCTCAGTGTATTTCAGTAAACGTCCTTGACCGTTTTTATAGATGACCTTAAAGGCTGAGTTAACATCAACTTTATGGTTCATCTCGATTAAATGTTTAGCTATAGACGAAGTTGGTAGTCTGGCACCTGCATCTATGGGCTTGTCACAATTCATCTGTTTTCCTAACCACTTTGAGATATGCTCTCCCACCCTCACGTGCAACGCACGATTACTCCTCCCTATGTATGTATGTCCACACACACGAAAATTGGTAAATTGTATGGGATGTGATATAATCACTTGTGCACTTTTGAGGTTTCCAGTGAAGCATATTTTTAGCCTTTTCGACAATTACAAGCTGGGCTGCATAGTAGGTTCTACGGATGATGGAATTCAACCTTTGTCTCAAAATCCTACTATTTATTTCCCCATTATATGGTAATTTGATGAAAACCTTTTTTTTAGGGACGGTATGGATTGTAGGTTTAGAGGCTAGTTGACTTCTACGCCTGTTTAAAAACTTCAAAGGATATCCGTTTTCAACAAGAGTATCCATCAATTTTTCGTTTTCCTTGTCTATAACATCAGCCGTGCAAATACGCTGAATCCTCTTAAATAGACACTTCACCAAGCCTCTCTTATATTGTAATGGACAGAAGCTGTGAAGATTAAGATATTGCCCTGTCCAAGTGGGCTTTATGTAGATAGACCGTCTTATTGAGCCATCGTCTCTTCGACTCAGAAGTATGTCTAAAAATGCGAGCTGGTTGCGACTTTCTTCCTCGCATGTAAGACTAATATGATTCTGTACAGAGTTAAGTCTGCACGTGAGGGTGGGAGAGCATATCTCAAAGTGGTTAGGAAAACAGATGAATTGTGACAAGCCCATAGATGCAGGTGCCAGACTACCAACTTCGTCTATAGCTAAACATTTAATCGAGATGAACCATAAAGTTGATGTTAACTCAGCCTTTAAGGTCATCTATAAAAACGGTCAAGGACGTTTACTGAAATACACTGAGGCTATAGCCATTCATAAACTTAAGCCCCCCTTGTGTATTCAAAAACAGTTTGTTATTACTCTTAACCTACCTTGGTAATCCTTATTTGGTTGGATTACCAAACGTTTGTGTTAATTATTCTTAATTCTTTTTTTTGTCACCTTGTTTAATTTAACTTTTCCATATATATTGACTTGACAAGTAAATGTGTGATCAGATTGTT